TTAGATCGGTTTCAATTAGCCTTATTATTATTTCTTTTCAATTTTATAAATATTTTATCATCTATCATTTTCGTGTTTTATTGTATTTTATTGTTCATTGCATTCTTACCTTTTAAACTATTTTTAAACCACTTGCAATTTTTATTTCTAACTCACACTTGTAAATGACCTTGGAGAGGTCGAAATGTCGTGACTTTCTTTCACTTTTTTTTATCACCAAAAATATATCCAAGAAATTTCTCATCTACATTAAAAAAAGAAACAAAACAGAAACTATCATCAAGAAGTATAAAGAAAACGTTATTTGCTTAACGACAGAAAATAACTGTACAAACAAAATTGTCCTTGCATGTAGGCCAAGCAAGAAGCTCAAAAAGATGCATGTATGATTATTTTGTAAGAACACACGATTGTGTACAAATTATTACTTTCTATCTCATCAGCTACAAAAATGTAATTTTTCATTGTTACGATATTGTCTCCCTCAGCATCTTTTCAGGAGTGTTCTTCTTGCAGTTAATTGAGTTCTTTCTAGTTATTTAAATTACTTTACAGTTCCATGATGCAGCAGTGAATCATAAAAGTGAAAATCCCTTTTAACTGTCTCTAAATTTTATGCAAAAAAATACAGTTACCTTAAGTACTGCCAGAGAGGTTGTCAAATGTTCAGACTGAAACCATCAAGCATGAAAAGCATTACCCACTCTTTTCCTCCAAAAGTTATGTAAAGACATTGGGTACAATCAGCTAACTGTTGCCTCTGTGAATAAAATCTACCATGTGACCTTTCAAATGAAAACTCTTCAGCAGTACTCATTTTTCTAAAGCCCCGTGCAAATGGGCAAACCATTGTTGGCCAACAACTACCAACATTGTTGGATGTTGAATCCATTTGCACACCCTGTTGCATGTTGCCTGTTGTTGGGAGTTGTTGCGCAAAGTTTGAAACTGCTCAAACTTTTAGACGTCCATTTGCACAAAGCTTAAAGGAAAACCTAGAGTTGATGCTTGTTGTTACAAGTTCAGTTATATTGTTTGACCCTCTTAGAGGTGGACACTTTTAAGACAGACTCTTGGTACTGCTCTCAGTAGTGTTCATCTTGAGGAGAGGTTACAGCAGTGAGAATGCCCTAAATAAACGGGCCCTGTAACCTGCCAGGATTGTCTCCTGCTGCAATTTTAAATATGATAAATATGACAATCCTCTTATCAAAAAGGATGTACACTAAATAGAACTTTGCTGTCAAAGCAAAATGAATGCCATTTTACGTGTAAGTCCTCAGACATGCATTGCAAAATAGACTAGGATGTCAGTTATGACTAGCGCTACTTTTGTATAACTGTTCTGTGTTATTGACTTGCTTTACTGTTGATCTTTATCCACTTTTCTGTTACTTCCCTCAAAGTATCCATTACTTCTTTTGGTTTATCGCTTTTGACCACAGCACTACCGGATACAATCATGTTGGCTCCAGCCTAACAAACAAAGAAAGGTTAAAGTAGGTTAGGATATGACAAACATTTTTACTCATTAAAAATACATGACTGTATATCTCATGGCTAACTCATCAAAACATGCTAACCCTGACCAAATTTGGAAGATTCACAGTATTTTTTTGTCCAGTAATAAAGCTAGAGGAGAATTGAACTGCAAGTTTGTTGTCTGAACAGTTTGCTGTAGATCATTTTCATTTTGTGAATAATCTATATGTTAACATGTCCACATGATATTGCTCTGTGTCATTCTTGGTGTGCCTGTGCAATGATCAATTATTCTAGCTAACTCATTCCCCACTGAGCAAGCTATCCATTTCAAGGTGTGAGCAAGGTGATACGTGAGTGAATCCACAAGAAAGGGGCTTTCCCAGCACCTCACTTATGCATTTCCTTTCTGTGCTGCTTGTGTGTAGCCTGCTTCGCAGACTGTCAGGGCCTTGAGTGACAAGTCCAGCTGCAACGCAGGCTACTTGTGCATGACCTTTCGGAACATCCCTCAAATGGAGAGCTTCCTTGAAGGTGACCAAGTTATATGTAATCACACTCATGTATCGATTGATACCTGAGCTGCTGTTTCTATTGTTTGGATTCCTACTCCTCCATCAACTTCAATATCCAATATTTTGTACTTTGTTCTTAGATGTTTGACCTTGAAAAACAATGCAACAGAAGAAACACTAGTAAACGTATGAATCAAAGTAATGCTGGTAAAATATCAAGCAATTAACTTATTGCAAAATATGTGAGTACGATACTCTATCAATCCACATATTTGAGGCTGGGCACTTATTTTAAACTTTTCCTCCCACAAGATGGGCGCTTATTGGAGGTGGACACTAATTCAAGGTTGGGCACGTAAATCAATTAATAAATAACGGTAGTTCCAAAGGCATATCTCTCCAGTGTCACAGTTGTGACTGTGTATGTGTGGGGGGTATGTATGTATGGGAAGGGAGCTGCCCCATTTCATTCAAGAAATATTATCAGTTATCTGGAAAAATGTTACAAAAATTTTGAGCAACCTGAGGAAGAAATTTTAGCTATGAGGGTGGTACCTTTATATGCCCACATTCACTTTATTTATAGGATATGTTTTAATTTTTTCCAAAAAGTGTTAAAATATATATATAGTGCATTAGGATTAATAACATTAATGCTTTGTATGTTATTATCATGCAGACTCTAAAAATATTATTTTCTGTGGGTAGCCAGCATTTTTGTGTGGATTATACTAGATACAATTTTTCTAGTCCAAGATGACAAGATGATTACTGCACTGTCACATTTCACATGCACATGAATAAATTATGCATTAAGGCATAACCTTTGAAATATACCATACAATATTTAGTACCTTTGGCATCATATCTGCCATGAACTTCTGTCCTCCAAACCCTGGTTCTACTGTCATGATAAGCACCATATCAACTAGGTCTACAAGTGGCAGTACAGACTCCACAGGCGTGTTTGGTTTTACTCCCACACCCACCTTCATTCCAGCCTTCTTTATCTGTTGGATCAGCTCTAGAGGCCTGTCTGATTGGAGTAAAAACAATGAACTGTAAAGCAAGAGTACATTTTGTTGTACATTGCTCATAATATTACAACATTAAATGCAAAGGTTTTTTGTGACAGTGAAAATTATAGGCAAAGCTTAGTCTAGTCATTACATTATCCAAACAGGTCTTGGCCTTGGCTTTCTTTGCACCCTAATCAATCTATTCTCAAATTAAACCTGAATTCAATCTAGTTTAATTTACCATTTCCTTTGTTTTCTAGCCCTAATAATTATTCACAAAACACGACCAAAATTCTGGCTTAAACTGAAAACAGATTTTACCTTCACAGAAATTATATACTATACCATTAAAATTATTACTGCAATTATCTGGATATCAACATTGCATGTCATCATACATGAGACGAAGCTTACATGTATGTCCTTACATGGATCTGAGTAATAAGTATCAAATTAATTAATTATTATTCTGTGAAATTTTGTTTGTCAAAGCCAAGAAACTGTTACTTAACATTATTTCAGTAAACAAAAGAATAAACCTAATTTACTATTAATTGATTAATTAATTAATCAATTAATGATTCTATATGGTTGAACATATTAAGCAATGGCAGTGCAGTGGTGAGAGCACTTTGCCTCCTACCAACATGGCCCACTAGGTTGAAATCCCGTGTCAACGCCATATGTGGGTTGATTTTGTTGTTGGTTTTCTCCTTTGCTCCACACAAGGCTGTCAGTAAGAGGCAGAGGCTGGGGATTTCCCCCAGCTACTATGAACGTGGCCCCTGGCTACTTTCAAAGGAAAATAAGAGAAGAATAGAACCAAAAGAAAACCCAAGCTGATTGATTCCCCACCTACTTGTTGTATTTACCCTGCAACTTGAAATCTTAGTGACATTACCCTGTCCGCAGGTTTTTTTTTCTGGGAACTCCAGTTTCCCGCCCTCTCATCAAAAACCAACATTTGCAAATTCCATTTCAATCAGGAATCAGGTAGATGAAGAACCACTAACTGTAACATGGATGTGCTACCTCTAAATCATTATTTATTATTATGTTTTTTATACCTGTCGCTTCAATATGAAAAGTGTATTGGTCTGCACCTGCATCAGCCATGTCATCAACCCACTTGAAAGCAACCAGGAGCAAAAAGAACAATTATTATCAATATTAATCCTTTCAATATTATACACTGCAGTTGTTGCTGAGCACACGTGATTAAAAAAAAAAGTGCGGGGGGTTTATTGACCGCCAGCGCAAGGGGGTAGGGGTAGGGGAAGAAGTTTGAAAAGAACGAAAAGAAAAATAAAATAACGGCTGTGTACAGGCTAGTGTTTAAATCACTGGGTTCTGAAAGGAATGGTTCATTTATAAGTAATTCATTAGTTGAAACTGATTACCTTTTCAGGATTTGCCACCATCATATGCATATCTGAACAGGGAAAACACAAGACAAATACAAATAATTCTCAAAACAAAAAAAATACTTAGCAATATTTTACATTGGAAATAGCGAAAGAAGCAAAAAATATATATCTTGTAAAAAATTGAATCTTCACCGATCCCACACCTTCACTCCTAATCTTCCCACCCCCGCCTCCACCACTTCCGGTACAATCATGCCCAGCGACCTTAGGCTAAAATAAGTAAGATTATTTTCCTTACTCACCGAAAAAGGCATTTGGCACTTTTTTCCTTAAGCACTTGACTAATGGCGCCCCAAACGTCAAATTTGGTACAAAATGGCTGTAGAAATATGACCTTATAAGCTTTTATACAATGTTAAATACGCTTTTTAAAAATAATATAAAAATAAGTTTTTAACTATCAAAAACGACCGCGGGAGAATGTATTTTTTTTTTCTCATTACATTAGTTCTTACCCATCCATTACATCCAGATGCAAGTAGTCTGCTCCGCACTCAAGCAGTTTGTTGCATTCTTCGGCTAAGCAGGACAGATCAGCGTTGAGAATCGAAGGACCGATCATACACTTGCAGCAACTTGTGGAAGCCATATTGCACTCGCTGGTGTAGGTACTTCATATATGCTTATTATAGTGTACCGCATGGAAATGTAATTTGTCACAGGGCAACCAGGCTCACAACAGCCTACTCGAAGTTATTGCATGAGACGAGCTGCAATTTGGGTCGTCCTAAATTAAGTTAAGATCGTCTGTTGGGTGGGTCAGACGTCGAAGTTAGGACGCGTCGAACCAATTTATTATAATCCGACCAAAAAGCAGTTTTAATAAATTTCCCAACGGACGAGGCTAAATATACATTATCATACAAATTTTTAATTAATTAATTAATCAATTATTATAATTAATGGTTTACAATAATTATTAAAGGAAGAGAAATACAAAAGCCAAGCGAGGAACCTTGATCCTCGACTCGATGTGAGAGCATATATATCTCCACTGATATTAAATGTTAAAGAAGTACTCTAACAATACAACAACAATTTGACTCTAAAAATGTTACAAACATTCCTTAGTAAATCATGAATAAATAATAAAAAAAGCGCGATAACGAAAATTATGAATAATAACAATAAATAATAATAGAAGGAAAAGATTAACATTGCAAAAAAACAAACAAACAAACAAACAAAGAATATTCTAATCCATAAATAATTTCTTTACTCCTACTTAAAAAGAATTTACAGATGTTGCCCTAAGAATGTAGGGCAGGGAGTTCCATGTGTCAACAACCCAAAGGAAATAATCTGTATTTAAGAATGCTCCTTCTTGTATATCTCTTCCTAAGAGATAAATCATCTTAATGAGTTCTCAGTGTCTCGTGATCATGTAAATTTCTGCACGTTCTGTTATTTAATTAGTCCTTGCATCCTGTTTGCTTTGGCCACAACCTGTCGATGTGCGAATTCTATCTTAAATGCTGATCAGAGGACTAAGTTATTCTTAAATCTTTGAATTCACTGTTCCTCCAAAACAGAGTTGTCCAGGAAAAAAGGCTGTTTCTTGTCATGAAAGATATCAATCATGGTGGATAATGTGTATAAAGGGTTTAGTTTATCGTTTGTTTACTGGGCTGTGATGGAATGGTGATTATTATGCTTTCAAAACTGCTGATCATCACTGCTCACTTGTCTGCTGCATCTCTGAATTAGCGATACTTTGGTGCAGAGCTTCAATCATGGCTTCAGCAACAGAAGATACTCAAGCTTTAAAATCCCTATTCATCAAGGCAGCTCTCAATTTTGCATTTGCCTGTTTATGATAGTATTTCCAACTGCCATACTACCCTGCCGAGCTCTTTCCTACCTTAGGTGATAAGATAGAAAGCCTCAGTGTGCATTCAACATAAACCTAGATTCACCTTGGTTCATACGCGCAATACTTAGTATTGAATAAATCTCGTCCCATTCTCGACCCCAGTGCTTACGGGTTTCGGAATGCGCGCGCTCTCTCCTCTACATGCGCAGAAGAGCTCTGGATCGAGATTGATCTCGTCCTCCCAGTATTCCTCCTTAAGGTCTCTTTTCATCTTCTTCATTTAACAACACTCCAGTAATAAAAAGCCATTAAGCATGGGATGGCTTTTGCGACGAGAAAGTAATCCCATTAGCAACAGGACCGTGAAGGTTGAAACTTACGACAAAGTATACCAGAGCACCAGGGGCAAAGTCCCTTTCTGCTTTGCCAATGTCTGCATTCTTTCCAACATAAAGTTGCAGGTTTCCTTGTACTAGTTCAATGTAAGGGTGGATCTTCCCAGGACGACCCGAAGACTGCTCAACTCGTATCCGACCTTTACATTCCAGCAGTTTCCTCCGACTGTCTATCCTCCAGAATTTTGACACTTTCTCAGACTTATCTGTAGCGTAATCAGTTTCCCCTTGGAATAAAGTGTTGCGGTTGATAAGGCGAGACATCCCTTGCCCTTCTTTTCCCACAAATAACGTTGACTGTGTACTTCGAAAATGGTTCTGGGACTTTTCGCGGCACATTCTTAAAGCTTTGACGTACTTTGCCGCAAATTCAAGTGAGTGCCCGTCAAGGATATTCAAAAAGTAAATGGCCATTTGATAAAAATAAGGCATGCAATCGTTAGGGGAAGCATCCTGCCATCTCTCACTTAGAGTAAGGCCTTGCTGGAGGCTGTAGCTTCTTGGTCCAGTTACCAAAACACACACTTTCATCAAATGGTGAGCAAGCCGAAATTCATTCTCTACTAAAACCAGTTCTTCCAAGAGCCTCAGTAGATACTGGAGGTTTTCAAAGTTTAAGTCGATTGGATCACTAGCATGTAGAAAGAAGTAAGCCTGAAGCTTCTTTAGTTCTATCTGTGACGTCCTGGGAAAATTGGGAGCACTGCACAGTGCCTCGCAGACCTGGATTAATTCATCTGTATGTTTCCTCCGTCCAGTTGCTGAAAGACCTTGTTTAAAGGTCACCATCAGCGATAAGCGCGCATTATTACTGAGCCGCTGGGTCTCTTCAGGATCTGTTAAGTTTGGTACACTTTGCACAATTTCATCCACAACATCCAGAAGATAAAAAGAATCACTGACACAGGTGCGAAAGAAAGAAGGTGAAAGTTTGGTAATAAACTTCAAAGTGTTATCTGAATCGCGATTGCATTTGTTCTTCATGATCCAGTCAATGCAAGCTAGCCAAACTTCAACTTCGCCAATCAAGGGATGAGGATATGTTGGAGGGAAGTTGCGTGCCTTGTGGTAAGCGCTGAGTACTTCACTGGCTTGATCTTCAAGGGTTTGGAGATTGTTAACTTTCCCGGTATTGATACTGTGCTTCATTTCGTTATACAGGACAACACCTTTCGTGTGGTATAAGCTGCGCAATCTAACCATTGATTTGTTGGCTTGAAAAGCTTGCTGCATGACAACTTTGGCTTTTTCAAAAGATGGAGGCTCCTTCCTTGCTAGGAATCTTGCTGCGTTAGCAAATATGGCTGCGTCATTCGTTTTCACAGCTGCTTGACAAAAGACCTCTCCTGCTAGCTCTGAATCGATGCGCTTTAGGTCTTCAAACAGGATTGAAAATTTGAGTTTCATTCCATACTTGTTGTAAAGAAACAGTTCTTCAAAGAGAGGAAGGAAACATTCTTGATGGTAAATAGGAAGCTGAAGGAACTTTCTGACCATTCCAAACAGATCACATTCCTGCGCCCGTAAAACCTTCCTTAGCACCAACTCCGCAACTAACGGATGTTGAAGAGTGTATTTTTCGGGTGCCGCGTTCCGTGGGCCACTTGATTTCCCTCTGCGGCGGAGTGGTTCTGCAGGTATCATTAGGTTAAGCAACTGCTCGGTGAAAAGGCATTTGATGTCTTCATAGGTAGCTGATTTCTCATCTGGTGAAACACGAATGTAATCCTTAAACGCATCGTAAAGGAGTAGAGCCGGTGTGGTATGATTGGCATATTTCTGCAGGAAAGCGACAACCAGCGCAATTTCTTGCTGAATACCTCCCATTTCGTCCAGGGTGTCATCGATGATCTTTTCAAGTTTAGGACGAAACTCTTCCATCATGGAAAGAAGAGGAAAATGGAACACACGGCGCAGGTTAGGTCGTTGGTTTTCACCAAGTGTTTTACTGATGTATTCCTTGTACTTCGATTGGAACTCATTGAGATCAGAAATCGACTCTTCTAGCTTCACATTCACATCAAATACGAAGTGAACATTCGATGACTCCTCCCTTCTCGAGGTTTTTGATCCATGCTGACAACGTAACAAAAGGGCTCGTTTACCTTTGTTGCAGAGCATTCGCACAAGCTTGTTTGACAGGCCCCCAATCATTCCCGATTGCTGTCCATCTATTCTGTCCATCTATTAAGATCACTGGAGATGTCTCGCAAATTTCTTCTAATGCAGATATGCGGTCGGCAAATTTGTCTGAAAGTGTATTGTCCTCGTCAAAGTAGTGTGGAGAGCTCAATATTTTCAGTAAAGCACAAGGGTATGTCTTGTGCAGATCCCACAGGACCCGTCGGGCAATGGTAGAACCACCAGTCCCAGGAGAGTGCCTGATTTCAACAATCATAGATCGCGTCAAACCCTGATCAAGGAGACGTTGAACGTGGTTTTTTATATCCACACTTAATTCTCTTCTTGCGTCGTGATTGTCATAAAGACTTACGAGCGAAATTTGGTTTCCTGACATGAATGATTTTCTGTGTTCCTCAAAAAAAATCTCTGCTTCAGCTGGGTCATCTGAAAATTCTGGCAGACTTTCACATCCTTGATACAGGATTTCCAGGTGTTCGCTGAGGTAAAGAAATTCATTCTGACTTAGTTTGGCAGGAATACCGGCGTGCGAAGAGGGCAGGCGGTATTCTTGGGTTGCTGACACACTTAGTAAGTCTGACAAACCCAAACGGACAAGTTTGGGACTCAAGTCCAAATGACGGACTTCGAACTTTCTTGGAATTAGGTGAGAAAACTCGTGTTTGAAGGAGACAAACCTCACTCTGAATTCATCAAAATTTTCTATGAGACGGTTCAAGGTTACATTCAAATATGGCAGAGTCACGTCACGAAATGGAAGAATAAGGCACACTATGGGTTTCTGTTTGTCAAATTTGTCAGGATCAGAGCAGCAGCTAAAGAGCCTGGTGACGTGTTTAACTGAGGTAGCCTCCCAAGCTGGAAATGACTGTGAACTTCCCTCAGCATCGCTCTGCCTGCCATTAATAAAGAGCCACTGAATCTTCTGGGGATCGATTTGACGTAGAAGACTACCCATTGTGCTTTTTCTTAACTCTGCTGGTGTGAGCATATTGACTAAATTACGTTGTCCCTCCTTCGAGGTGAATTCACAATAGAAACCCTTTTCTTCTGACATTGGATCAAAATCTAAGACCATTTTCCACGACACCGCTCTCAAAACCGAAAAGCACTCCAATTCTTCATTAGGAAGGGCATCTGTAACCAGGATGTACTGATTCAGGTGTGACTCAAAGTTACCAACAATATCACAGAACTTTATCCACTCATCCCAGTTGGGGCCGCTGAGCTCCTTTGGGCTAACTGCTTCGCTTAAAACGCCAGGCGCAGCTTCAGTTGGTTGATTTGCAATTACATTGTCCAATTTCCTTTCAATGACTTCTAGCTTTTCCCTGCAATAGTCTTCTTTGGATTTTTCTTTTAGAAACAGCTGTTTGTAGTATTCTCCTGAGTAGTGGACTTCATCTAATTCAACAACAATAACCACAAATTAAGAGCAAACACTTGAATGATCAGGTAAATCTCAACTCCTTGATAAGTCCTATAACTGTAGAACTTTTAACTTATTTATTTTTACTTCGTCAGGCATACATGAAAAAGGTCAACTCTTGAGGTCGCCTAACGCTGGTCAAGCGATCTTTCCTGCTAACGCAACGGGTAATTGTACGTTTCGAAAAAATTGGCCATATTTTTCAATCGCTTTAGAAGTGGTTTTATCCTTGCCTGATCGCTATACAATTTTCACCAGTGATTGACTATAGATTGAAATTTGTCAAAATGTGGGTTTTAGTAAATCGATATTACTATGACAACAATAAACAAAAAACTTTGAAACTGATAAACGCCTAATTTTGCGCGGTGTAGACCAGCTACTGAAAATCCAACACTAGGAACTTAAAGTTTGGTTTTTAGCAAATAACCTCCGTAAGAAGTAAAAAATTCTGTATGTTTGAATTCGACTAAAAAAATATATATTTCAAACCTTAAAGTTTCAATAGCCGTGATAGATTATTTAATAAAAACGTTATGAATGACTCAAATTATTCTTAAGTAGCGTCAGAATGCTGCTTAATATCATATTTCGATGCTAGGAAATTTTGGTGTATTTTCGTTCTTGCGATCTTGAAAACTAACCCATGTTTTACATTCAAAAGGTGCGATAAATTCAACCTAAAATATACTAGTCATGGAGGTATGTATAGTGCGCATTATTTTGGAAAAATTAGCATAACGTCAAAATAGTGAATGTTGTAACGCAGATTTTTGACAAGTTCGTAGGATAGGTTTGTCTTGAAATTTTAAGATGTTGCAGTGAATCAATCTCAATAAAAGTTTCAGATCTTATTATATACATTATGAAGGTTATGTGAAGAGATTTGAAAAAAATTTGTTCGAGTCGTTTCAGAAATATACAAAAAAGCGCTAAAAGTCCAAATTTTGAATGAAGCCTGCACTTATACAGGTGCGGAGAAAATGGGTTAGTTTTCAAGATCGCAAAAACCAAAATACACCAAAATTTCCTAGCATCGAAATATGATATTAAGCAGCATTCTGACGCTACTTAAGAATAATTTGAGTCATATATAACGTTTTCATTAAATAATCTATCACGGCTGTTGAAAATTTGAGGTTTGAAATATATTTTCCTTTTATTCGAATTCAAATATATAGAATTTTTTACTTCTCACGGAGATTGTTTGCTAAACACCAAACTTAAAGTTCCTAGTGTTGGGTTTTCAGTAGCTGATCTAGATCGCACAAAATTTGGCTTTTATCAATTTCAAAGTTTTTTGTTTATTGTTGTCATAGTAATATTGATTTTACTTAAAACTACATTTTCACAAATTTCAATTCATAGCCAATTACCGGTGAAAATTTTATAGCGATCGGACGAGGAAAAAAAAAACTGTATCGAAACACCTTCATGACTCAGTCTATTCCCTCATCAAATACCACAGTTGAGGCTATATTCGCATACTCGCTTTGAAGCAAAGGTTTTTTACAACGTTCTTCTGCTTCTCTGAAACAGTTAAATTTCAGTATAGATATAGCTGATTTGGCATTTTTTAGGTCCGGAGTTCCTTAAGACTTGCGAACTGACCGGGAACTGATGAGCACCAATGTGTTTTTAAATACCTTTCAAAGTCACAAAGCATCTCAAACTGGTGAATTATGTAAGTTTCTCCAGATCTTTTGAGAAACGTTAAGACATAGATTAGATAGAGGGTTTCTTTTTTATTACTACAGATACCTGACTGGAGCAATATTTCTGCAACTTCTGTGGGATCTGCACCAAGCTTAATGAAGTTTTCAGATAAAAGCGGCCAAAAGGTTTTGAAATGCGATTCAGACATTCTTTCGGTGGAAGGATGTCCCAGTAAACTATTGCGGCAGTTTCTCAGTTCCCTCAAAGCAGGTGCGAAATCAGGTTTCTTGCTTATCTCAACTGAACAACTCTTGGAGTAAAGAAGTACTGTTGTCATTAAGGAGAAATCCCATTCGTTAATGTCTCCTTTGTTGAAAAGGGCTTCTTGTTCTTTTTTGAGCTTCATTGTCCCTCTGTCAAAGCAGGCTGCATCTAAAGGCTGATTGGACCACAAGGGATTGATATCCATAAAGAGACTTCTGAGAGCTCGAAGGCCTACCCCATAAATCAGCTTGAAAATGCACAGCATATTCCTCCTAGCAAAGCAAAAGTATGGTTTCAGAATGTGATCTTGTATAGCGATGGACTGGTGTTTGAGGTTGAAAGAATTCCCCAATCACCATGACCTCCCCGCCCTCTTTTTCTCCCCAAAACTTATTAGCAAAGTCCCCAGCCGTTGAAGTTCGATTTTTTTTTTCACGTAAATCACAAAAATGCTAGGATTTACCCGATTATCTCTGTGTTTTCATTTTGTCTTGAAGCGCCAAATAAGATTGTAAGAAAATGTTAACCATCGGAAGTACACGCAAATTCATACCCCCACCGTGGTACAAGGGGGGAGGGGGATGGATAGAACCTCTCCTCGGAGTTTATGATATGTTGCAGTATTTAGAAACGATTTTACCTTTAGTGGAAAGCCCTTGATCTTCGTACAAGATGAGGTACATTTATGGGGTGGGGGTGCTGCTGGTAGCCTGTGACGTCACCAACAATGGTCGCCATCTTGGATTTTACCAAGAATTAGAAATCACGTTAACACATCAAGAAAAGGTAATTTTTCGTACTTTACATGAAAAATAACACATGAAAAAGCACTTTGCTTTATTTTAGCCACCCGATTTACTTTAATTGTTGAAAGAAGTTGAAAAAACATGCGTTTTCAACCAAAATTGGCTTGAACACTTACTTTTATGACGTCATTTCTCGTAACCATAGCAACTGAACATCACTAAACTTGTCTCAAAATGTGCGCGAGGGATGAATGAACAGCTACTGAAAACCTCAGGTACTGATGTTGTATCCTCTTGGAAAAAACTCAGAAAAACCTTTTGGGTGGTGGCATCCACCCCCCTTGTACGTCCGAGGGTTAAAATATTTGTAACTGAGTTTCTATAGATTGCGGGAGTGTACGATCTATGAACAGGATGCATTTCTACTTACGTTTCCTTAACTAACAAGGGGTCAGCATAGTTTGGCTTCTCATCTTGTTTATCCTTGTCTTTGCGGACTGCTTTATCTTTTCTGCTTGAATCCTTGGTGACTTCAAAGTCACTGCCCTTCATGGTGGTGGCTTCAGCTGTGCCAAGATTTTCGTCTTGCATCAAAGGAGGAAAGGCATCTGATCCAGCCGTTGTCAATTCTGCTGCCGTTTCCAGGAAACTTTTTGGCTCTTTCACAATCTTCTGACTACATGAACCGTCCCTCGGTGTTAATGTCCCAGATAAGATTTCATCATCAGCAACAAATTCATTTTCTGTTACAGTTCCAGTACCAGAGCTAGTTCCACTGATGGGTTGTTGTGAATCGGTTTCCTGCTTTTTCTTCTTTTTCTTTTTCTTTTTTTTCTTCACAGGAGAAAGGCTATTATCCTCTGCTAGGTCAGAAAAATCCCCTTCGATCGGACAACTTGAATTCGCCTCAGTCTGGTCACATGAAATAGGGTTTGAGTCGACGTTTGAATTACCACCTTCACGAGTCATCTCGCTATGTTTGGTTTTTTCTTCGATGGCATTCCCATCACCACTCAGTTGGTGTGACTCCTCGGTGACTGACGTTTTATTTGGCTGCGAAGAAGCCTCAGCAACAATCGAAGTGGAATCTGACCCATTTCCGGCATGAGCACCTTCATCGCAAGTAGAAGCGACTTCTGTTCTCTTTTTCTTTTTCTTTTTCTTCTTTTTCTTTGTGCTTTCCTGAGGAACTTCGTTTTCGGCTGATGGAAGTCCTGGCGAGGCTTCGCTTACTGGTTTGCAATCAATTAGTTCGACAGCAGCTCCCATCGACGTCGAAGAGTTTGACTGGCCTTGGGGATTGGATTGAGCGTGACCTTCACTTTCATCGCGATTCTCCTCATAACTCGTATTTTCGGCAACTTCTACATTTGCTGACGCATCTGCCGTCTTTTTCTTTTTCTTCTTTTTCTTCTTGTTTTGGTTCGACCCATAAGCACCATCAACGTTTGCCGATTCAATGGTTTCCTTGGACGTGTCGAGTAATGGTTGCTCGCCAACAAGGTGCTCAGTCCCTTCACTTTTATCTGCTGCAACCGATGATTGAGATTCTCTCTTCTCCGATTCTTGTCTCGATAAATCTTCCATTCTAACTTACATCACACCATTCTGCAAATGTAAACCACTGTATTTATATATAACTAACAAAGTTACTTAAAACCTCGAAATTTGTTGATATCACCAACAAAAGCAAATCAAGCAAAAAGGAACAAACACTTACAATTTAAGGATCCTCAGCTGCTTACATTTTCGCCCGGTTTTAGGATGACGTACTTCTCTTCTGGTCCAAAAGCAATTGTTTCGAGTGATGTTCGGTACTTCCGCTTTCCCTTTCAGAGTAATAAGATTGGTTACGGACCGTTTACAGTGTTCACCTCACGATTTCAAAATACGTACATGCAGAGGACCTTTTTGTCAAGTTTTCTCATGACCTATATGAATGTCGTTGTAACCGCAGAAATCAGAAAATCTCTTAAATACTGAAAGAATCGGTTTCTGAGGATTTTTTGGCAAAACAGCAAATCTTTCTCGGAATCATAAAATACGAGCGGTCACTAAGCAATGATCACGTGATTGTTGCTTCGTCGCATATGAAAGTAGTAAGCCTCCACGTAGACGTCATTAGCGTGATCAGTGCTCGGTCGTCACGCTTTCCTGAAGAAGCGCAGGAGGCTACGAGTAAAATAAATTTGCCAGTTGGGCCCCCTCTATACACTGAAGAACCTGTTTATGTATAAGAGCATCGGTTCCTGATAACAGGTTCTAATTTTCTAAAATCTATGAAAAAAAATTCTATACACTTAGGCAAATAAGACAAGTCAATATTCAGGATCCTCGTTGGAGACATAGGTTCATGCCCTTACACTCCAACCTGCAAAATATCGGTAAACAGATTTTATATAAGGAACTAGTAGTAATCTCAGATTAGAAGGTGCGTTCGAGCTTTTTCAGGTTTACTGTCAAATGTGACGTTATTTGCTAATAAATTGATGCTGCAAAACGCTTCCCATACGTATTTGGCCATCCCCTTTTTTTTCGTTTAGCGTCGAATGCGTTTCCTGATATTGGGTCGGTCGGTAGGATTGAAAAAAAAAACTAAAAAGAAATCACAAGAAGTCTCGGAATAGGAGGCCTTGTTACCCCAGGATGATGTTAAAAGTTAACATTCACATATTTGGATTAACAAAATGAACAATATACTGCAAAAAAATGTTCCTGTTTTTCTCTATGCTGCTACTATGCTCATTTTTCAGATTAAAAGAATTATTTCAAGTGAAAAATGGTTTAACTACGTCGTTGCTCTTTTTTTTTTAATATGCCATAAATTTGGGTCGGTCGGACGAAGCTAAACGGACAAAAAGAGAGGATGGTCTTTTTTAAAAAAGAAACAAAACAAAACAAAACGACTACGACTGGCAGGAGTCAAGCCCGAGACCTTCGACGTGTAGGGGGAACGCATAATCCATTGCGCCACGCAACCATTTTTAAGATCGTATGGCAAATTAATTGTATTTAACGTTTTTGTGCCCACTAGATAAATTATTCAAGATGGCGCAAAATGCAGACGTACGACGAAATGAGTACCACAAAAGGTCACCCTTAAGTACCAGAGGAATCCCAAGATTATGTGATTATGTGTTGCGTTCTCCTAACGTCTAGCCTGTTTCAGGCTCTCAGATAGAGGGGAAGACGCGAAAGAAAAGGGCACGCGAAAAGTTAGCGGGGTGGGAAAAAGGAAAAGGGAAGGGAGAGAGAGCCGCCGCCCCTTCTCTCCCCAGTTTCCTCCCGTTTTACTTTCCTCTTCGCTCTTTCTCAATTCAGCGGGCCCAGCTATCTCGGAGCCTGGAACAGGCTACCTAACGTCGAACGCAATAAGCTAAATGCACAATGTATGTTTTCCTTCAATGTATTTTAGAACCTACATACTGAGCATAAATTTTGTGCTAATCACCATTTATGCAAGAACTTGTTTATGCTAACTTGGGAAAATACAGGTTCTTACTCGCGGGTTTTTACTGTAGCGTAACATGCTTCTATGGTATTGCTCTATTTCTTTCCCAAATTATACTGAAAGTTAGACTGCTTTTGTAAAATTGAGTTCCTTTTCTGTGTTTAAACAAATACACACAAAACACAAGACTTATCGCAAGTTAACTTTTTTCCAAGCATTTGCCTTCGGTTTCACCTGCTCCAGTCTCTAGTGATTTGATTTTCCGGGTTCTGGCCTATATCGAGAGGCGGTTATCCTTTGTGCACGATGCCATTTTGTTGCCTGTCTAACGAAGGTTCCTCTAAAATACTTTGAAAACACTTTTTGGGCGCCTGATTTCTATCTGTTTAGTCATCATCCTAGGGAAACTTGAGTCTTCGAAATTACAAGGGCTTCAGTATTGTTTTCTCGAAAATTTTAGCTTCAACTTAACTTTAACTTTATCACATATCACACACTCTGAAAAATACATAAGAACAGCCAAAGCAGGGGGCTTAAATGGCCTAAGGTCAGCAAAAAAACGTGAAGAATTTACATGAATAAAACATGGCTTTAGCTAAAATAATTACAATACTATTAAATCAAAAGAAAGAAAAAGACTGTGGGAGACCTTACAACTGAAATACAGTACTTAAGAACTAATTTTCAATACTTAAACAACTAATTATTATGACTACTAAATTTACAAATATTCGATATACAATTTTAAAACATATTACAAAATGAAAATGTTTTAAAATCATCAGATTTGAATCCGAAAAGGTTTCCTTTTGTCTACGGAGAATAGCTCATCTGGGGACGGAAATGTGAAAAATTAAACTTCAGAAAGTCGTAAAAGTTGCGAAAATTGTACACGAAAGAATGGCGGGAACGGTTATCTAGAAATTTCTAGCCGTTCTTAAGTAATAGAAAATTCTAGGCAATATTTGCTTCTCCCCAGACGACGAAGGACCCTGTGTTTCAGACCTTTAGTAACCTCCTCTTCCCTTCCCAGACGACAGGAAAGTTAGACTGAATCGTGGTTGATGGGCAGAACTTAACTTGAAAATGATCAACCTCAATATAAAAGCCAAACAAGTCATGTTTCTGGTAATTTCTGCTATTAAATGAAGTGCTAAGTTATTATGCTGTTTTGTTAGCAGGATCGATAAGGGCCTACCTTACTACCTGGCATGTCTATAACGAATTTTGTCATATATCCCTTAAAGCGCAATTTCAGTGGCAGTGTGAAATTAAGGTCTTGTAATGAACCCGGTACACCGGGACAAATTAAAAAAAAAAGATAAGTAAAAAGGAGATGAAAGAGTAAGAGCTGGCCTAGCCTCATGCGTAGCTGGTGCGTAGGAAGCCGAGCAAAAGAACCAGAACCTCGGCACTCGTTCCATTTAGTTTCGCGTGGCCAAAACCAAAAATCCCGTTCCTTGCCTCCCTAGCTTGCCTCGGTGATAATTTGCTCCTAGACCACACGGAGACGCTTTTTACGCAGTCTAGGGTTGGCCACTATTGTGCCCCCTTTTATTACCAGATTTTACCGAGAAAAAGCTTAAGTGCCCCCATAGGTGTTCTCATAGGTGTTCTCAATTCAAGGGACTATTCCGGGGACTATTCCTACCTTAACTTGAGCATGTTGAGTGACGCTGTCACAGTGATATGGGCATCCCCGCGTTTTGGGCATCCCCATTCCCATATCCCTAGCGTTTTGGGCATTCCCGGTGGGGGATGCCCAAAACGCTGATCGCTTCGACTTTACCTAAATTATTTCAGACTGGGGAAAAGTCGGGATTGTCAATCAAGAATCTACGGCTGAATAGTGTAGATGCATGTTAGAATTATATCGTCTGACGCTTTTCGCCCGGTTTATTGCGCAGAAAAAAACCCATAGGCAGTAAACGTTGGCTCAAAACATGACGAAACTAAAATTTACAAGCGCATAACATCGCTTCGCTGTACAACACTTTATTGTTTTCAAAGCTTCAATTTTATTTAATAGAACTGTTTACAAGCGCGCAATGCCGCAATAGCCGGCAGCTGCGATCGTCTGATTCCAGACAGACAAAAACAAGAATACTAAACAAAGAAATCAAAAGACAAACATGAATAAAACTGCGTTTTGTGGTGTTGAATTCATGGGTACTACTTGGTGTAATAGTACTATGCATGACATTTGAGGCCTGTACAACCCCCCAGCGCTACTTGACACACGAAAGGCTGTCACACAAGACCTCTTGCACCTACGGGACAGAAGAAATCTGTTGCCGTTTAGAGATGTAGTAGAGGCTTCTATTAAATCAATTCCTACCAAGTAACACACAACCTTCACTGGGTGCAAAACGTCGCAGGCCTTCACTTCCGGTACATTTCTCTGGTACCGGTCACAACGCTTTAGTATCTAAGGAGAAGAAAACAACTACTGGTGAAAATGTAGTTATGATAAATGGACGCTCCAATGATGGTCACTAGAAGAGATGTTGTGCTTAGAGCACATAAGAAAGTATTTCTGATGTAGCGGGCGTGACAACCGACGTGACATAAATGGATCTTGGGTCAACTGACAGAAAGTCTGTCATCTTGATCCTTCAGAAATATAACTTCTGATCTTTGGCTTCACTTAAAATAATAACAAACGGGAGCTATGGGAAGGACTCCAGTTTACAATGCCTTTTGACAACCTACCAAAAGATGCAATTACGGCGCATCCTTTCAAGGAACACTGAAAACAGAAGAAATTTAGCGTATGTTTTCGATTATCAACGCGGGCATTTTAAAAACCACGATCAAGTGGGTGCATTGGCAAATAAATACAATTTGTAACTAACCATTTCCATCGTGTCCTTGTAGTAGTCAGGCCAGTAAAACCTCTCTTTGATTTTCCGAAGAGTTTTATCGCGGCCGGCGTGTCCAGAAAAAGGAGCAGAGTGTCACTCTTCGAAGACCCTCGCTTTCTCTTCCTTGGTGATAACAAGTCGTCGAAGTGCTGTGCCATCCTTCTCCTTGGCCACGTAGAACAAGGACTCGGCACCGCAGAAATACGTTTTTGAAGGCGCGATGCAATATTTTGCTGGTCAGCGTCATCGCCTTTTAAAATTAAAAACACCGGCAACTTTAAATTGGTTTTCAACGCGAGCCCGGTTTGCGATGAAAAACCCCAAAACTTAGAGCGAAAACTGCAAACTTAGCGCCTGAACTTCACCTATCGTTTCTATTATTCGTATTCCATATTTTATATTGTGCCAGAGTTAAACTGAGCTTGCACAGCATATGAAATTGTTGTCTCACGTAAGACTATCGCGGCGCTTTGGTCTTCGCAACATACGAATTTTGTTTTGAAGAAAATGCTGTGTTCAAAGGCCAAAACCAGGAGGCTTTCCGATGGCTGTAGCGGTATTTTAAGAAAAGCAAACCCTCAAGTATGTAGAGCTGGTGGTCTGCAGGCTAATGAAATGGTTTGTCAGCGCCATTTTGATAAAATTCGAAGAGAGGACGACAGGAGATGCTCGTGTCCATCTACTTGGGGACACTCTTCAAGGCTGCACGGCCACGCGATTCCTCATCATTTCTTTCCCACTCTTGACCAAGCTGGTTTTAATTTTCCTAATTATCAACCTGGAACACGGTGGTGCAACAAATGTCGCAGTGAAGCTCCGCAAAGAATACAAAACTGGCCAAAAAGTGACAAATCGGAAAACATCGCTACTAAATGTAGTCAACAAGATCACACGCAGGTAAGTTTTCTTAATATGTTCATTTTTTGTAGGATGTTGTTCGAAGAAGACCTGGAATGATCCTTTGATATTGATTTATTTATTAGTGTTGTGTACTTCAGAGTTTATTTACTTACCTCAAGTGTCTTTTTCCTATAATAATAGTTATCACATTGACCGTTTACAAAATTGTCTTAAATTTTTTGTGTTGTCAAAGTTTGTGATTACCCAATACTACCTACAGCAAGTTTGTAAATTGATATAAGCTAATAACTTGGGACATGAACATTCACAAAAATTGTAAATGATACTATCCGTTTTGAAAAGCAAAAGAGTTTTGTCAGAAAAATTTTTAACACTGTTTGGCATCCAATACTCTCCCTCACATTTTTTTCTCCCTAGGGTTGTTAGAGATAATTATTGTGAAGAGAAATCAAACTTTATTTCCAATATTTAAAAAGCACAGGTGGTAAAAAGGACATAACAAAACAATATAATGAAAAGGCTGGTAAAAAATACTCCAAGGAGAGAGAGAACCTGAATCACCATGAAATTCTGCATAAAGCTTTATTATTTTATAAAGCCATGATAACATTGACCTAAAATTTAATTATCATTTTTCAGGCTTCTGAAGGAAACAACAAAGCTTTACATGTAGGACCCACAGCTGAACCAGAGCTGGAGCCACAAACAGTGGTATAGGAATAATTTTCTTAAGTGACTGTGTTTTATAAAATAATTTCCTGTACTGGCTTTAAAGAGTAGAGTACTTGTATGTATTTCAAACAAAATGAAACATTAATTTTGACTCTTCATATTGTCTATTCTTGTGTGCCATCAGCAGAATTCTCATTACTGGACTATTGCAGAAGGGCAGTATGGTCCAATGTTGGTTGGAGAAGATGGTGACATCATGATTGAAGCATCCACATGGAAAAATATTCAGGAAAAGTTAAATGGTGAATGTAGACACCCTTACTCTGAGTGTTGTTAGAGATAATGCAGTACTATTATTATGTTCATGCCAAAAACATAACTTTTATGCTGTGGTTTAAATTTATCGTTGGTTCAAATTTTATTTTCCTTTGTTTGAAACTCATTATCACACATTACCATACCCCAAAACAAAGAAAAATAAATTTGAGCCATAGGATAAAATTAAACCACTACACATAATTATAATTCCTAAGTTAGGGGCTTCATGGTTATAATAAAAAATAATAAAAATAATGTGTACAGTTAAATGAACAAGCAGGAATGCTTTATCAAGTTTAAAACACCAGTCACAGCTGAGTGTTTTAGACTTAATAAAGAGAGAACTGTGACTTTATTATCAAACAGCTTAAAAATCTCTCGAGGCACATTTATCCATTCACGCACTAATACATGTATTTAGATTTGGGTTATTTTGGCTAAGAAAATTGGTCACATCATTAGCATATCAGATATATAATACAGTGTATATTATAATAAACGATTTTTGAATTACATCTATTTGTAACACATCTTTAAGGTACTTTAAAGCAATAATTCTTAGTACTAATCAGTCATTAACTGTGACAGAACCCACATTCAAAGAACAAGTTGATGCCCTAAGTAGACAAATGGACAAATGTGAAGATCGAAAAAGACTAGTGAGTCAACCAGTTTTTAAAGAGTTCCTTGAGTCCAATGCCCCTACACTATACAAGGAAATCCTTGACAGTATCTTATCAGAGCGTCATGGTGAAAAAAGGGCCAACCTGCAAGAGAAGAGAACAACAGCTCTTATATGGCAGCTTCTATATTACAGGTACTTAAGGGTGCAATAATTTTGGTAACTACATATATAGAAAGTCACAAGGCCTAAAGCATTCACAAATGATTTATCTGGAATCCCATTCAAAGAATCTTATCCAAACCTCATGATCATTGGAGGCAGAAGTGGGGAGACATCATTATAGCAATATTGTGGGAAAGGTGGGGATTTAGTACTAGTAACACTTTTTTCCTGACTTGAATATCATCTTCCGCTGTAGATAATATATTACAATACTGATCTACACTACTATATGTATAATAATAATTGTCTGTAAACGTACCTACGTGAAGTACTTTCTATGGAATATACAAGCGATGAGATTGAGAGTTCAATATTATTTCCTAGTTTTTTCGGAAAATATGTGACTTACTAATGCTAAATGTGTCAAGTCTATTGGGTATGACTTTCAGAAATCAGAGACACAGCGAATTTATGGATGAAAGCTCCATCTTCTTGGAACTTAATGGTCTGTCATCTAGTGGTATGGCCCTTGGTAAAGTGTTGGGATTTGCAAGAGATGAAAAAACCAAGACTCATCAGAAGCACAAAATGGCATCTGACCATTTGACGAGGGCTAAACAAATGGCTTGTGAAGCTTTTCAAAAGGTAAAAATAATACATGATAGAAATTGAAAAAAATGTTCCTAAAGGTCCTCACCAATGTAGTTACAAAACACAACAACAATCTGTATGATAAAAAAGCATTTTCTACCTACAAATTAAGCCTGTGATTTTGAGATCTTTATAAAGTATAATATAATTATTTCTAATCATTTTCTTTCCTTTTCAACTTTGTCTTAACAGAAATCTTTTCAGATACTATCTATGGACGATTTCCATAACATTAATGCAATCAAAACACCAACCAAAAGAATACTCACCAATGCTGTTCATATGGCGACTCTTCTTTTGGACATCCAGTCTTCTGTTCCCGCAGTTCCTCGTCCCGTTGAGCCAGCCAACATCCACCGACGTGTCATGGTTTCAGAAGGTGGTGGTGCACCAAAGGTCTGCAGAGGTGGAATTTCAAGTGATGCAGTGGTTAATGAAATGAGGGAATTCTGGCCACACTATAGTGAACGCTTTTTCTTGGAGAGTTTGCCTCTGCCATACAAGGAGATCGATCTATGTAAGATGCAGCAGTCCATGAAGGAACTACGGTAAGCAAGTAGACTAAATTCTTTTATTAGAAGTCCAAAATGTCACTTCCATCACCTGGTATAATAAGAACTGCAGTGTGACTGCCCCATTTGCCTTGATTGGTAGAGTTAACTCTTTAGTCAAGCCTGAATTATTTTTTCAGCTACTTACTTGTAGGTAGCCTGTGCTGCAGACGAAACTAAACCTAAACTTGGTTTGTTTACATGTACAACACAGGCTACAGTGTAATTACACTCACAATGTTCTTCATTCAACTGTGAGGATCACATTCACTTCCATATCTTCAGCTGCAGTTCAAAAATATAAGAATTCATAATTTATTTATTTAATCTACTAGAAGTTACCTTGTAAATTCCTTTTTTACTAAAATGTTAACACTTAGCCACATATGACTTTTTTATTGCAGAGTCTACTCAAGAGAGGACCATGAAGAATGCCAAACGTTAAAATCCACCATACTAATCGATGAAATCGAACAAAATCTGCACAGTAAAGATGACTACCAGGCCTGTCATCAGTACATTTTTGACACCATTCCAGAGTTCAGAGATTTCCTAAAATTACATGTGGCACCTACAGTTGGTGACTGGCCCACATGGTACCATCAGAAGAAGATTGTTTGCCATGCTGACTTGGATCAAGAAATTACATCCCTGATTCCTGAGCTGGGACAGTTTCATGTCTACTTGAATAGTTCAGAAGATGTTGTAAAGCAGTATTATCCCATCTTCAAAGAGATCTATGGATCAGTTTTTGGCCAAAGGGTAAGACTGCCTGAAAAGCCCAGGCCAGATAAAGTAGCACTGTGTATCACACTATCATTCTGTGGTTGGCTGAACATCCGTAGCCAGATTATTCAGGCCTTCGGACTAAGCAAGGACACTGAATATACTTGCCTACTTCATCTCTTTGAGGAGCTTATTCCTTTGTGTTTCCTGCACTACCCAGTTATAGTTAGAGGAGGGCAATTTGAAGAGCTGACATCGTCAATGAAGCGCCTGGCCATCATGTTTGTAGCCATGGACCGCCATCACTACAATAAAGCATCACTTTCATGGCTCAGCGATGTACAGCACCAGCAGACAAACTTTCCCGAATATTATGATGCCAAGGGTACCTTATGTCCAGTCCTGAATGAAAAGAAGGTTGAAATCTTTCACTCAAAGTTAAGATCCAAAATAAGAAAGACAGACAAAGGAGCAAAAATTCAAGAAACGGCCAGACTTATTGCCAGATCAAACTTTGAAGAGGATGGCTTTGAAAGAAGTTATGTTCCACAATGTGTAAGAGGATATAGTGACCAAGACTTGCTTTTGCTTTCAGGTAAATAAAAGCCTCCATGTATATATATGTTGTGGTTTAACTTAATCCTTGGTTTAAATTTTTATTTTCCTTTGTTTAAAACTTATCATCATACATTACCATACCCAAAAACAAAGAAAAATAAAATTTAAACCAAGGATAAAATAACCACAACATATAAATCAGTGAAAAGACTGATTGTTGTACTTTCAACCTACAATGTTACATGCCTGTTACCAAAGACAAATTTTTTTTTTAATGATGATTTTCTTTCAAATTGTATGATTTTTTCAGGTTTAGCATCTGAAGGCATTATGGCTATGTTTGAGAGAGTTGCATTGAATCTGGGTAAATCCTACATGCTGCCAAGACCACTAAACAGAGCTGGCCGTCCATATGGCAAAGCACCATACTACCTAGCAAGTTTTCAGACAGAATTCACTGTCAAGTCATTACCTCTAGGGTACAGATGGCCTTCTAGCCGACCAAATCCTCAGCTAGACTGTGATTCAGAAGCATGCCATCATCCTTCTCATTCAAACATCCAGCGACTGACATGTGGCCATACATTCCATTCTCCCTGCATGTCCGATGAGAATGGCAACAGTCTTGGATGCATCATTTGTCTTCGTAA